GAAAAAAAAAAAAAAAAAAATTAAATAAAGTTAAAAAAGGCAACAAGTACAGAAAATATTCATAAACATGTTTATATATACAAATTTATATAAGTACATCACAAAATAAAATAGAACTAATCAAATATAAAATGTAAATGAATTTTTAAAGTAAAAGTAACTTCTTTTTAACATGCCTAAAGTATCATGATCAAAATAAATATCAAAAACAGAATTACATTAAATGTAACATTCGATTTAGTGGAGAGTTATTACTATAGTTTTGCTTGTGAGTTTATGAATAAATTGTGGAAGGTGCTTTTAAATTAATAAGAAGGAACAAAAGCATTAACGAGGCATAAAATATTTTAACAGTCAGTTATATCATTTAGTAAACTCTAAATACCTATGACATCATTATATTTTCTTCTTAATGAAAGCTTAGACATCCCTAAGTCATTTTATAAACTATTGTCTGAGAATTAGGTATTTATTTTTTAACATAACACGTGCAGAAATCTTTTTTGAATTGATTCTACTTGAATTTAATCTGATTTTATTAATTTCTCCAGTTCGATAAAGAGACGCGTACTCTAATATGGACCTGACTAAAGCAAAATATAATACTTTAAGTCATAAAATGTTGTTAAATTCGCTTACGTATCAACAAGCCAAGAGTACAAATCCTTTATTACTCATTACTGTTTTATGGTCTACAGATAACAAATCATCCGACAAATTTACACCAAAGTCACTAATACTAATCACTGTTTCTGTTCGTATTGATTATAGTAATATAATATTATACTGTGGCAAGTGTTACTCTATTTATGAAACTCTGCAAATACCAAAATAAAAAACTATAGTTTCTTTAGCGGGGACAAATGAAAGTAATCAATATCAATTTTTACAGACTAGAATCAGTTTCTCGAAAAATCGATATATCTGGACCACAAGGCATTACAATTGAATCGAGAGCAGGGGATATCACAGCATCCTGTCTCATGGACCTGAAACTTCAGTCTATATCTGGTGCTGTAAGTATCAACTTAAGAAATATAATTTACCGAACTAATATAACATCAAATTTAGCTTCGATGCGATGCTGAAAAGGTATTGGTTTTACTATAATGTGTTTTTTTTTGTCTGTTACCTCACGTTTTTTCAGCTCTCGCCGAACCGATTTCTTTCAACAATACATCAAAAGTTCACAAATCGTATCTAGTCGAAGACATTACCCT